CCCCGGCCGTGAACCGGCGCCCGCGCTCCAGACCCGACAACGGCAACCACCAATCCCTGCCAGAGACCCCAGAGACTCCAAAGACGTTGGCCAATGAAGGCACTGCGGACAGGAAGAGGGCGCCTTTTTGCCCACCCCTCCCCGCCTGCCCCGTGCGCCAGCAGCCTTCCGGCGGCGCGGAGCCGGGGAGGGGGCGGCTGCGGCGCCGCGACCCAGAGCCACCCGACAGGCGGGTCACGCACCCTTCTCTCCGGGGTGCCCGGCCCTACCAGCACGCCATGTAAACTTTATCAGACAAGTGGCAGTGTTAAAATAATCTATTTACAGCGGTAGAGAACATCTGCGATTAACCGTAAGTTACAGACAAGGAAATGTTTAGGAGTTCGCAGAGACGCCAAGAAACTGAAAGAGGGTGCAAAGGGCAAAGCATGGGGTTGTCAGAATACCATTTTCTGAAAGTTCATCTTGTAATAAGAATCTGATTTAGAAAGTAGCATCTCAAATACACTAAACAAGATAAAAGCATATGGTACACTACCTTACACAGAAATAGTACATTGTTGAGAATCGTTGAAGTATCCATGTGTGAACTCATCAATTGTTGCCATGGTCACTGATAATTAAAAGCATTTATATCCTTGCAGGATAGAGCCTGCTGAAAAATACTTCATGTCACTTAAGTGAAACCACTCTGAAGCTTTCTACAGCTTCTCCCAAAAATTGTAACCAAATGAGCTGTAATTGAAGTCAAATAAGATACTTGCTGTAACCCACAACAGATGAGGAAAACAATTTTTCTTTTTCATTGGCCTACTGTTAAAAAAAAAAAGACGAGTTTTACAGCTTTCTTTGCTAAAAACTGAATACATTTACCCACCATTCCAGGGTTCCGTTCTATTCCATTAAATAACTGAAAATAAATACTACTACAAAGTCACTGAGGCAGCCACTGCTATCCATTGAAAGAAATGTTTTGTCAAAAAGGGATTTATGCAGCAGTCTTCTTGGATAAACCTGGATGCTAGATGAGAGAAAATTATATAGTTTTGTCTAAAGATGCAGGTTAATGTAAAAAAAACAACCAAACAAAAAAACACGAACAACAACAACAACAAAAAGAAACCCAACTCCCAGCTTTTCAACTACTTATCCTTAAAACTTTGCCAACAAATTTTGTATAAGGATTATCATCGGGGCAAACTGTCCCAGCATTAAAATCGAATGCATCATATGTATAAATTCATTGGCTTATAATAGATTTGCCAGACTAACTTGGTCAGAAGCAAAGACAGTAAAAGAAAACCCAGATTGTTAGATTGATTTTTGACAGAATTTTCTTCTATGTGAATACGTAATTTCTCCTCTTTAGATTTATACAGATATTGCCATGGTCCTAGATAGTTTTAAGAATGACTTATTCCATCTTTTAGAAGCCAACTTTAACTTCAGTCTACAGAGATCTTTCAAACAGAAGTGTAGTTTTCTAGGCAAGACCCTGTTTTTCATTAAATTACTGACACATTCTCACAGATTCAGTGGTTCAAGATGGAGTTTAAAATCCGTCCATGTACTTGTTTTGGTCAGTGCAAAGTTGCAGGTCACAAATACCAAAATAAAACTCCTATTATAGCTTTTATAATTAAAGCTATATACTTACAAGGAAAACTATAAGAAGACAGGGTTCTAGGAAACTGTTTATTGGACTTTTTTTGGATTAAAAAAAAATGATAGAACATCCTCCCATAAGGACTTGCACATTCATCAAAACCAAAAGTGACAGAGTTCATTTACAGTAATTTTCAGAAGCTCTTCTGCAAACTGAACCGGTTCCCATTTGCTTCCTAACTCTTAGGCAATGCATGTGGCAGATTCAAGAGAATCCTACTCTTGGGCAAGCCAGGAGACCTGGGACGTGGAGTCTAACACTGAGCTTCGAACGTCCACAGTTCCGTGAAAACCTACAACAGAGAATGTCTTGCAGTCAGAAATACTAAAACTTGCACAGTTCACTGCGCTCTCCCTTTCACATATAACTTTGGTATTTAAGATTGCTACACATTTGAACAGGAACAATTTTAAATATCAAAAGCCTTTCAGAAACAAATTCTTTTCTTCATTCATTTATACTGTTTATTATCCCTATACTGTTTCCTCATACTCCCCTCCCCCTGTAATTTTTCTTCCTTCATACGAAGCTTGCAAGATTTTTGTTATCCTCTCTTGAATATACCAGAAACACAGACTTAAGTCATCTATAAAATAATAGCATATTCCAGTCTGGTTATTTTCCAATCTGATATGATCAATATGGCTGAGACCACAAAGATCAGCACACACCATAGCCTATAAAAGGTTAGGTATAGCAGCTTGTGTCCTGCCTGTGTTTTCAAAAAGGCTGTATTATCTGCATCAGGAGTTCAGTATCTACAGACAAAATACCCGGCAGTGATGGAATATCAAGTTCCTTCAGATTTTTTCAAGGGACTTTTTTTTATCATAATTTCTCTTGAAGAATACATGAAAAAGGCTGAATACAGTCCCTCTTAGAGGCTCTATACTACAGCCAATATTTTTGAGAACTTACTTTCTCAGACTCCTTTCCTAAAGTGAAAGGAGTGGTCTACAATGATGCCTCCTCTCATTTCTCCCTTTGTTGACGCTAAACATTTATTCCATCATTACCATAAGATGGCAATGCTGCATAGACCTATTTTTTCTCTTCTGTGCCACAGTCATTGCTACATGTGTAGGATAACTGCCTTTTAATAAAGATTTATGTCCATGATGACTCAAGGTGAAAAATCTTCCTGAGCTCACATGACCTATCAGGCTAGAATGGTTAAGATGTACAACAAATTCTGTAACTAAGATTATATAAAGGAGTTTGACATGTATAAAAGGATAGTAGGAAGAGTTGAACACAGTCAAGTCAGTCACTGGTAAATGGATAATTTTATAGTTTAAATTTAAATGTTATCTTGGCATGTATCTGCACAACTCTTCCCAGCAGAGAGTAGAACTAATGGCCCCACAAAAGTTTTGCCAGTAAAACATGGAATATAGCTTTGTGCAGAATTCTAAACACCAAAGTTCATGAGAATTAAATTTGATCAGCTTTAGTTAGGCAGTGATAAGGAATAAAAAATGTGCATTATGAAAGGCCTAAAAGAGCTTGGCTTACTTAGTGTACTAAGACAAAGACTGAGAAATAGGATATGATTAATTTTTATACACATATCAACAGAGCAAACCACTGAGAGAGGAAAAGGATTATATAACCTAACTAAAATTGTTCACATGAGCACAAATTATTGTAGCTACTCATACATACATTTAGATCAGAAATAAATAGAAAAGATACTAACATAAATAGTTGGGTTCTAGATAACCCTTCCAGAAGGAATGAGACCAAAATAAATGGTTATCTTTGAGATCAATTTATAATAGGAATTCTGTGACATAGCTGCCTCTGTCAGCAGGGAACCGCGCTCAGTAAGTCAGCATCAATGACATACCAGTAAATCTAAGAAAATTAGTAAATCCCCATAATTTGGTATTCTCAGCAAGCCAATGGTCTGAAGATGCAGGAAGGCACATATCTGAGTCTTGAGACAGAGTGAAATAGATCTATGGGTCGCTATGAGAGAAAACAGTAGGCATCTTGGGAGTATGGTAGAGCTCAAAGCGTATAAATCATTCTGTGGAAGTGCTTTTCTCACCTTCGCTTACAGGAGGAGTCCAGAGCAACTGGCTCACAAGTTGCTCCAATAAGCAGTGCAAGTTACATGGAATGGACAAGGGCCTCTGTCCCTGCTGTGATTCAGACCAGCTTGAGCTATTGTCACATTGGGCAGGAATTTGAGGACTACACACCAGATTTGCCTAGCAGTAATTTGACCCTAACATATTCATGCATCCCTAAGGAATGAAAAAAATCATCTTCTTGTGAGGGACTTAAAAGCAAACAAGTTAACAAGCTAATCTGGTTTTATGAAATTATAAAGGTGGCAGTGTTAATCTTTGCATGTTTTCCATTATACTTAGAAAAACCCAAAGCACTGCAATTAGAAACACATCAGCTTAGGCTAGTCTCATGCTTAACATGAATTAAGCATCACTCCACTGGCTTCAATGAATTAATAGCAATTTCTTCATCTTAATTTTTACCAGTTCTTATTGTTAACAGCAAACCTGTCATTTGCTTTTCTTTGGGGTTTTGGTTTATTTTTGTTGGTTGGTTGGTTAGTTTAGGGTTTTGTGTTTGGGTTTTTTTTCTGAGAAAAATAAAAGATAAACTGCTATATTGCTTTTGGTGAAAAGAACAAGATGCAACTGATTGATGTTAGATGCTTCGCTTCACAAATGTGTGGTACATTTATTCTAAGTGGAACCTCATTTGAAGTAGTCTCTACAAAGCCTGTTTTATTCTAAATCATGCTATACTCTTATACAGTTTAACAAGAACAATAAATTAAAAGCATTAGTTTTAGCTAATTTCACTACTGATTTAGCCACTCTTTCTGGTAAAAATGAAAATGAGGTAATCCCATTGTTTTCCTTGCTTAACAGTAAAAAAA